AGGGGTTAAGACAGATGGACAGTAAACAGGCATTGAGTCAGCTCAGCCCCAGGATAGTTTAAAGTGATTGGCCTTGTCTGTCAAAACCAAAAGTAAATACCCACTGGAGGAATCTAACCTCTTACAGATGTTATTTGTACAGTTTTCATACATAATGCCGGGTATATAAAATATATAAAGCAGTACTTGGCAAGACCACATAACTGAAAACCCATAAAACAAAAAAGGACAATGGAAAGAGACCATCAGGAGATCCAGATACTGAAGTTATCGGACATACGTGATAGATAGGTTTTAAAACACCGAGTAATATACTCAGGAAAATAAATGGCAAAATAGAAAATTTCATCAAAGAACTGGAATCTATTAAAGACAATCACATGAAATTCTAAAATTAAACATACAACGCAATAGATGACTTTAAGAACGGACTGACACAGTTAAAGGATTAGTGAATTTTAGGGTAGGCCAGTAAAATATATTCAGATTAAAGCAAAGAGAATAAAAGAATGCCTGGCTGGTTTAACACTTAAAATTCAGTTCATGTAATTCAGCACATTAATGGAATATAGCAAAATAATCGTATGATCTCTCCGATATATGCAGAAAATACATTTGATGAAAGTTAACATCTATTCATAGTAAAAACTCTTAGCAAACTAGAAATAGAAAGAAAATCCTTAATCTAATAAAGAGTACCTACAATAAATCTACAACAACATTTTTTTTTATCGCTTATTCCCTGAGATTATTTTATCGCTTATTCCCTGAGATTGTGAATAAGACACGGATGTCTGCTATCATCACTTCTATTTTACATTATACCAGTGCCCCTAAACAGTGAAGTAAGGCAAGAAATATGTATAAAAGGCATAAGAATTGGAAAAGAAGAAACAAAGCTGTCATTAATAATAACTATAAAAAATACAAAAGGATTTATGGTAGAACTATTTAATTTAGTAAGTGAATAGCAAAGTGCATTAAGGGACAAAATACAAAAGTTAACTTTATCTCTACAGGCCAACAATAAACAAATGGAAAGATAATATTTGAAATAGACCACTTAAAATAGCATCAGGAAACATCTATAGCTAGGATTAGATCCAACTAAAGATATACAGAAATGCTACTGATAACATTACAAAATATTAGTGCAATAAGTTAAAGAAGACCTAAATAAATGGAGACATATGTCACATTTATGAGTCAGAAGATCCAATGCTATAACACTGTCAATTCAACCTAAATTGATTTTTAGATTCAAGGCAATGCATCCAGTTACTAGTAGTGTGTGTGTCTGTGTGTATGGGAACACTAATTCTAAAATTATATAGACGTGCAAAGGGCTAAGAATGGCTAAGATAACCTTACAGAGCAACAAAGCTGAAAGACCTGCCCTACTGGATAGCAAGAGTTATGACAAAGCCATGAATACAGCATGTTGTATTTGTGCAAGTGTAGACAAATAGTTCAGAAAGTGACCCATAAATAAATATATACTTGATTTTGACAAATGCCAACTTGAACAATATTGAGAAAGTGAGGATCTTTTTAATAAATGGTGTTGAGTCAGTAGCATAGCCATATGGAGAAAACAATGAATCTTGACTCCATCTCACACCATATACAAAATTCACTTCTAGGCAAATTGTAGGTCTAAGTGGGTGAGTTTACAGGATTGAGTTCTTAGAATATAACAGGATACTATATTGATTACTTTTGGATAGGCAAGGATTCCTTTCTCTCATATATACATGTATATATGTTTCTTTTTTATTTTGAGAGAGAGAGAGAGAGAGCGAGCGCGCACAAGCAAGTAAGGGGCAGAGAGAAGGAGACACAGAATCTCCAGCAGGCTCTGTGCCATCAGTGTAGAGCCGGATTCGGGGCTCAAACTCACAACTGTGAGATCAAGACCTTAGCTGAGACCAAGAGTCTGATGCTCAACTAACTGAGCCACTCAGGCACTCCTAGGCAAAGATTTCTTAAACAGAAAACACTAACCATAAAGAAATAACAACAACTTTGTTTCAGCAAAGAATCTATCAGGGGAAAGAACCCTGGGGAGAAAATACCTGCAATACACACACCCTACAAAGGGCTTAGATTCAGGCTATATAAAGAATTCCCAAAAATCAATGAAAAAAAGATAGACAAGCCAATATAAAAATGGGCAAAAGACTTAGATAGGCACTACACAAAAGAGGTATCCCAGTGGCCAATCAACACTTTAAAGTGCAGTCAATCTCAACAGCAACAGGGAAGTACAAATTAAAATTACGATGAACAGCCATCACACAACAGTGGAATGACTAACATTTAGGACTGACAATACCAAATAAAGTCAAGGAAGTGTTGTATTAACGTAGCATTTGCCTTGCTGTTCTCCATCTCTCGACTTCAGGATTTTACCTCTTTGGCCAGATAGCCCTACCAATTTAATCTTCAAGACTCTCTCTCCCTTTCTCTGTCTCTCCGTCTCTCCCTGTCTGTCTCTCTCACCCCCGTCACACACTTAGCCCTCTGCCCAGAATATCATCTCTAATCTTTCCTGCCAAATCATGTTTCTCCTTTTCTTCTGATCTCTGTTGGCATTCCCTGTTAAAAAATCTTTCCAGCACAACACCACGCCAACTTGACTTCCAAAGCAAGAATAAAGTCCTTCCTGTACCTTCATCCCTAGCCAGTTCCTGCTCTCCCCAACTCCCATGTTCCAGGCAGATACAGGTGGCTTGTTCTATGTATTCTAGAGATGACAAACACATGAGCTTCGGTCGAGTGCCTTTAATATCCTTGTTGTGGTCATCCTTTCTCTTCTTATGAAATTTTGGTTTCCAAAGGGCAGGAACCATAGTGCGTATCTCCCCCACAGCCTACTAATGAGTGCCAATTTTGACTGAGTAAAGCTAAGAAAAATGAAATGTCCTGAAGAACTTCATTCTTATCCATCTTAAAAAGGAATGTTTATTCTGTATTTTGATTATTAAGAATGCTTGCATGCAAAGAAAAAAAAAAAGTTAAGAATTTGCCCTTGAAAAACAAAGGATTACATATTTTCTGAGTCATGAATTGAGAAAGAATTCTTATCCTGTGACAAATTCGGTTGTTGGGTTGAAAAAAAAAAATTAAGGTACCTATAAACTGAGGAAAGGACAGCAAGGGATACATAGCTTCTGTCTTGGGCTTAGGGTGCTTACGTAAACATTGTGTCAATACAATGGAAAACAATTTAACCTTGACCAAAGGAGGGGAAAATCACCGGTATCCCAGAGACCTATACTGGACTTGTCCCTCTGCCCTGCCTTCATAGTAAGGGTCAGATTCCCATCCTGTGCTGACTTATGGATGTTTTCTGGTGGAAAGTAGGATGCCAGTCACCTCCAAAGTGAATTTGAGATACTTGATTTAGAAAATACATGGAAACAGAGATAAAGAGCAACCCACTCACAACCAAACTTCTTTTCATTAAAGTGTCAGCAAGTCTTCAAAACTGATGTCTCCTATTTCATACAAATGAAAAGAAAGTCAAATGACACAGGGCCAGGAAAATAAACACCATGTTTATAATTAGAAGCTATTCCAGAGATCTGGTCACGTCCATGTGTGAAAGAATAGAGTGTGAGCATTTTGTGAGGCCCCAGGAGGTTAAAAAAAAAAAAAAACCCTCTCTTTAAAGAAAAAGCCCCATACATGAGAAAAATGTCTGCTTACTCTGCTACTCAACTGTGCTGCCCAAGGTCCTGGAGTGTCCTGAAGTGGCAGGCGGGGGCGGGGAGGGGGGTTGGGCAGGGCAGGTCTCCGTGAATATTTGTTTTGTTCTCTTCTCCCCAGTCCTCTTGAGCTAATTAGAGACTCATTTGGGATTATCAAGATATTTATTTTTCCCTTTAGCCCTGTAAGGGTAAGCTTATTGTATTATAAATGCACATTATTCTTCGTTACTTAAATTAGGTTTTATGCAATTTGATCATCTAAAGCAAAGATTTAGATTGGAACCCAAATCAGCTGATCCCTTCTGCTGGCTTGAACTGGTGCCATGATGAAAGGGAGGGGCACTGGTGCCATTGCTATTTCTTAAGATCTGTTTTAGAACAAAGAGAGAAGAATGCTAACGGACACATTGGAAGCATACTTAGAGGGCTACTGAGGAATTTGACAGTAGAGAGAACATTTATAAAGGGAAAAATATGTATTATTTTTATCAAGTGCTTTTATGTAGGTGACTGTCCTAAGTCTCCATAGCTGGAATTCTGCAATGGATAGACCACAGCTCCTAATATTCATTTGAAAAAGGTATAAGACACAATTCCCAAGGATTTTGTCCAGACTATCTGTGTTGAATGGAGAAAGAGTTTACTACAGGTGGAGTGGTCAGGGAAGACTTCCTGGAAGAGGTAGTATTTGGTCTGAAGGTCTGGGTAGAGTGCAATAGGACAGGAAAGAGAATGGCGTCGCAGGTAAGAGGTACAGAAAAAGCAAAGCCACAAAGTTGGGGAAGTGCAAGATGCTTTCAGTGGAAACTAATGAGAGTGGCCTGGCTGAATCAGAGATGTTTAGGGATGAAGCTTATTAAATACATTTAACAGTTTAAATAAAAAGAGAAAGATACCTTCCAATGGTACACTTCTTTATTAGAAACTTGTTTTTCAGGGGTGCCTGGGGGCTCAGTCAGTTAAGCATGTGACTTTGGCTCAGGTCATGATCTCATGGTTTGTGAGTTTGAGCCCCACATTGGGCTTTCTGCTGTCAGTGCAGAGCCTGCTTCAGGTCCTCTGTTCCTCTCTCTCTCTCACGTGCACGCTCATGTGCACGCTTTCTCTCTCTCTCTAAAAAAAAAAAAAAACATTAAAAAAAGAAAAGAAACTTATTTTTCAACCAAAATGATAATATCAGAAACATAAAGGTAAATCTAAGCCACCAGAAGTATCATTATTATTATTAAATACAATATCTACGTGATTGAGAAAAAGCCTCCACCCTAGAAGAACCCACTGTCTACTTTCTCTAGGCTTATATCCCAGCAGATAAAAACTTACAGGGACATTTTACCCCATGGGGCAATGGCTGCCCAGTCACATTTATACGTTTCTTTGGTCAGTTCAGAATTTTATTCTCCACATTATTTCACATCTTCTCCATCCTCTTTGAACCTTCAGTGAACTCACACTCTTGAGACAGGCCTGTGGAAAGAAGTTTTAAAAATGAAGGCATTGGGGGGCGCCTGGGTGGCTTGGTCGGTTAAGCGTCCGACTTCGGCTCAGGTCATGATCTCACGGTCCATGAGTTCGAGCCCCAGGTTGGGCTCTGTGCTGACAGCTCAGAGCCTGGAGCCTGTTTCAGAATCTGTGTCTCCCTCTCTCTCTGACCCTCCCCCGTTCATGCTCTGTCTCTCTCTGTCCCAAAAATAAATTAAAAAAAAAAAAAAAAACGTTAAAAAAAATTAAAAAAAAAAAAAATGAAGGCATTGGATGAATCCCAGCCCCTACCATGAGTTTAGAATAAGGTATCTCTAGCAACATTTTCTAGCATCAGTGTTTAGGATGTCCCTTGTCTTTTCCCTTCCTGAATTTCTCCTTCCATACTTTACACATACCAACTTTACACATACAACTTTGACTTGTCTACTCTCCCACAGTGGCGTGCTGATAAACTGACTCTCTGAAAAATACAAAGTCTGGATTTGTAGTTTTTATTGACTTCTGTGGTAGAAATACTCCCACCACAGCCAATTTCAAGCTACCACCATTTTGAAATATTTAACAACCAACTCTAGAGGCTGGGAGCCCGTTCTAGTTCTCTGGGCTATCTGCATTGCACCATGTTCCCCTCTCATTCCTTAGACAGCTCTTCCCATGGGCCTCTATTCTCTGGTCTTTGTAGAGATTTTGTGCTTGATAATAGGATGACAGCAGCCAGGGTCAGCTGAGCATCCTTAAGTCACTCATGTTAAACCTGTGGGCTGCTAACCCGTGTATTCTACTGTTCCACGTTTGAACTCACCTTTCCTCTTTCATGAAGTTCCATATTCTAGCAGGACTGAGTAATGTCAGGGAAGCACAACAAGCAGCAAAAAGCCTCTTCCCTCTTTGACAAAATTTTGGTTCCATTCTGGTTTTAGGTCTTTCCCACATTTGACAAGAGGCAACTCTTATCTCTTATGCACTCCTCTTCAGTGCGTGATAAATGTCAATGTGTATGCAAATACCTGGGTATCTTGTTAAAATGCAAATCCTAATTCAGGGGTGAGGTGGGCTCTGAGAGGTTGAATTTTTTTAATTAATTAATTTTTTAAAATTTACATCCAAGTTAGTTAGCATATAGTGCAACAATGATTTCAAGATGAGAGACTGAATTTTTAACAAGTTCAGAGACTATGTATGTGCAGCTGGTCCAATGACTACACTTTGAGTAACATCAGACTCAATACTCTGTAAGGCCATCCCCAACTCTGGTTGGAGAATGCAGTTACTCAGCCCAGGTGGAATCCTGATCCTCTCTCTACCTTTTGGGCAGGTCATTTCATCTGCTCTCAATGGTTCTCAGGACTCGGGTGGTGTCTCTCAGTCTTTCACCTCTGCGACCCCACTGCCCTCATCTTTTGCCATATCTTGATCCCACAAATGGGATCCATTTGTGTTCTCATGCACACAGTGTCTATTTATATTCTCAAATCTTTAAGAATAGAAGTCATGACTTTTTGCCCCTTTTCCCCACTTCTCTGAGCCAGGCATGGAGCTCCACATAAGTTGCTCCAGGGCAATGACATTCATAAGGGCCAACCAATGTCTTCTGGTGTCTCATCTTCTCTGTTCCTCTCTAAGCCCTTCCCTAAGTGATGCTCCATTCTCCATGCTGCAAATGTCTCCCTCTTCCTCTGCACTGTAATATCATATAGACCTAAGTCCATCTCAGCTTTGTCATATGACAGAGCATAGATAGGTCCTGCCTGAGCTCAAATTGCACTTTCACCTTTTATTAGGTATGCAGGTTTAGGTAAGTGATTTTGCCTGTCTAAGACTGTTTGGAATATGGGTGCAAAATTCAAGCAATTGTGAGGGGTGATAAAATAAGTCTATGAAAGTGCTTCCTATGGTGTTGAGCATAAAGTAAAATGTATGACCTTAAGAAAGTTATGTAAACTCTCCGAGTCTTTGTTCCTCATGGGTAAAATAGGAAAAATAGTACCCATCATACAGGGTATTTGTGAAAATAGAAGGAAATGAGGTGGGTGGAGTGCATCAACACTCAACCCACAGCTGTCTCCCCTTGGTTCTCTTTTTCTCCCATATGGGCAGGAACCCTTAGGCCAAGCTTGTTCTTGATGCTTTTTCGCTCCTCCATTCTCCACTGCTCCCTCCCTCTCAGGCTTCCTTCCTTCTCTCCTTTCCCTTTGTAAGTATTAATTAGAAGTATTGATTCAAATGGCAATGTGAGGGGAGAATGGAATAATATTGTTGGTCTGCCTTAAAGGAATGATGGAAAAGACCATGAACTTACAGGTAAAAGGGGATGAAAATGCAAAATCGTGACCAGTTCTACATTAGCTCTTCATCCAGTCATTAAATACCAGGCTTCGTGGGAAATATCTGGTTATATAAGACATAGTCTTTCTCTTTAGATGCCTATGATTCCACACATCTGAACAACAAACCTTATTTTAAGTAAGACTACATTGTGAAAAATTCAACCTCAAATAGAAATTCTATGGTCTGAAAGGTAATGGCCCTAACATAAAATAAGAATGATTTCCTGGGGGTACTCCCCTGCTGACTATAATAAGCCTTTGCCTTTCTCCTCTGTTGTTTCAATTTTTACTTTGATGGTTGCTTTATTTTTCTTTTTAAATTTTTATTTAAATTCTAGTTAGATGACATACAGTGCAATATTGGTTTTAGGAGTAGACTTCAGTGATTCATCACTTACACACAGCACCTAGTGTTCATCATAACAAGTGCCCTCCTTAATATAGCCTATATCCCACCCACCTCCATCCATTGTTAAGGGTCTCTTGTGGTTTGTTTCCCTTTCTCTTTTCCTTCCTCTCATATGTTCATCTGTCTTGTTTCTTAAATTCCATATATGAGTGAAAATAAATGGCATTTTTCTTTCTCTGCCTGACTTATTTTGCTTAGCATAATACACTCTAGGTCCATCCACATCATTGCAAATGGCAAGATTTTGTTCTTTTTGATGGCTGAGTAATATTCCATTGATTATATATACACCACATCTTCTTTATCCATTCATCAATTGATGGACACTTGGGCTCTTTCCATAGTTTGGCTATTGTTGATACCGTTGCTCGACTCTGATATTTGCTTAAAAGAAAACACTACTGGGGCATCTGGCTGGCTCAGTCAGAAAAGCGTGTGACTCTTGATCTCAGAGTCATGAGTTTGAGCCCATGTGGGGTGTAGATATTACTTCAGTAAATAAAACTTAAAAAAAAAAAAGAAAATACTACTAGTGAATTTTGTCTTGCTTCCCCTCATCTTACAATTAATTTCAGAGGATATATTAAAAAAGGTGGAGGTGGGTGGCACTGAAGAATTACTATGAGGAAATATCAACCAACTGGGAAATGAGAAAATACTAAGAAATAAGTCCTTTGGATAAAGGATGCAGTATTCTTAGATTCTCAACCCTGGCTACACAGAACAACTCGGGGAGAGTTTTAAAATGACCATAATTCAGATTCCATCTCTGACCAATCAAATAAGAACTTCTGGGAATTAGTACTTTTATAAGCTCTCCAGGTGATTCCAGTGTGCATTCAGGGTGAACAAAACACTCTGTTAGTTGACCAAGGGTAAGCATCACCTGTTAAGTAGATTGGTAAAGGAAGAGAAAAGAGTCTAACTTTATCCAAGGATATGTCTCTCTCAATCTTATTCTGTTCCCCAAGTAGGCCTCCATTCAATTCCCCAATTGCATCAAACCTTCACAAAGACCCTTCCTTCCTCTATTTTTTCATCTATCCTATTCTAGCTCATTCCCCAGGCTCAGCTCGATGACTTTTCAAGAAAGCCCTTGCTAACCCAGCCTGTCTTACCCTGTGCTTCTCCCCAGCATCTACTGTAAGTAAATAATGTATTGTGTAATTGTGTTTTACCTGTGTGCCTTGCTAGAACAGGAGTTCTCAAAGTGGGCTCCACAGGCCAAAAGCATCAGCATCCCCTGGGAATTTGTTAGGCATGCTCACTCTCCAGCCCCACTCCAAACCTACTGAATCTGAAACTCTGGGGGTTGGGCCTGGCATTCTGGGATGTAACCAGCCCCCAGAGTGATTCTGATGTACACTGAAGTTTGAGAAACACTGAGCTGGAGTCTTAACTCCTTGAGGGGATAAAGATCTAGTCTGCTTTTCTTTCTTTTCTTTTTTTTTCTTTCTTTCTTTTTTTTTTTTTTTTTTTTTTTTACTACTCCAGCCTCAGTGTTTGCCTCAGTGTCTTGTGAGAGACACTGAGAGCCCTTGAAAAATATTTCTTGGATGAATGAGTACATGGCCCAAGAGTGTGAGGTGGAGATCTCTATACCTGGAGGTAGGGAGCATGTTCATTTAAGCTACAGATAAACTCTACTACATAAATCCATATGTGTAGTAGGACTTTTTATTTATCCTCAGTTGACGCTGTTGACAAAGGTCAGCATCGTTACAAAATATTAGAAGATAGCAAAGGATTTAAACAGTGAAAAGACAGGTTTAGAGGATTTGTTATAAGAGGAAAGACAGCAATGGTGACAAGTGCAGGAGGAGGGGCTGGCAGCAGAGGTCTCGGGGAGAAATGAGGGGAAGTGGAGGGAGAAGCCCTTTTAAGAAGTTTGAGGGAAATGGGGAGCTGGCAGCTGCCCCGGAGGGACAGGAAGACTCTGGAGATAGAAAGGGTGTGTATGGAGGAGAGAGAGGGTGGAGCCCTGGAGGATGAACAGCATGAACAAGCCAATCCCAACAGTCTCCTACAGGCAGGTGGGCACTGGCCCTAGTGGAGACTTTGTGGCTTGTGACACTGCTTGCCAGGCAGCCACAGCCTCCGATAAAGTGGTTTAGGGCCCATTTATTTTCTAATTATGAAGAATTTAGAGTAACCAAGCATCAAACAGGACCTCATGTCCTTGTTCTATTCATAGTGCCTGGGTTCTGGCTTGATCTTTGTTACCATTATTACCCAGATCCAACACT